TGGTTGTATCTAGTCTTCTTTGAACGAGTTCATAATTAAAAGATTGTAAAGCAAGAAAAATCGTAAGGCAGTACTCTTCCACATTATACTTTACATGTGATCAAAATCCAACATTATAGTCAACTAATTACAAGATCAAACAACATGAAATAGGGTATAAATAGATAAGGGTGTGGATTTAGAAAGACGCAGGTTTAATCTCGTATTCTGTGAAAAAAAAAAAAAAATCGAAGCTATTAGTACTTAACTAAATTAGATGTTAAAAGATAAATAAAATATTCTCAAAATATTTTAAAAGTAAATAGCATATTTTCAAATGATTGAAGTAAATAACATATGTACTAGTAAATAATTTATTTACAAAATATATTATTTGTTTAAAAAATGTTTTAAAAATATGCTATTTGCTTCTATTAATTAAGTGATTAGATATTCATTATTCAAAAAGAATAATAAATTATTGTAAAACTGATAAATATTGGATGTTCTATATGTAGGCAGGGTAGCTAATTTTTTGAACGGGTACCGGTAATATATATATAATATTTAATGAATAAAGAGAGAGAGAGAATGAATGTTGTTAAAGGTCTTAAAAAAATATGAAAAAAATAGATTGGCACCTGCGGACGACCCCTAACCTCAATATTATTGATTTACTGCTAGACAAAATAAATAAAAACCATAATAAATAAAAGATTCGGTGTTTTTTAAAAACCCATCGTCTAATGGACTAAAAAAATACGGTACAAACAATATAAATAAACCGTCGTTGTATCTTGACAACAGTTTTTAACTGTCATCCTTATCTCTTATTGGTTCTAGTGAAAGTCTGCAACCACAAAGTGTTGTTGGTAAATGTACTTATCAGTGAACATCATAGCCGATTACAAGTGCGCACTTTATACAATTCTGAGCCAAAAGTGATTACTGATTAGATTTATATTACTTGTCTAATTTTTAATGTTTTAAACGGTGTTAATGAATTATATATAATTTGTCATGTCATTTTATAAACAAGCATGATAAAATTAATAATTAAAGAACTTTTTAAATATTTTGAATTACGTGACATGACGTAATATGATATGATTAGTTAATTTGTAATTTGAGTAAAAATTGATTAGGGCCTGAACTTATAATCTAGTAGTTCTCGGTCACATTCGTTACTTCCATCATCTATATATTTTCAGAAAACGTGAGATGATTGATAATTATTTGGCTTAATATACTATTATATCTATTTGGGAATTGCTTCTCCATATTATGTTTCCCTGCAAAATGAAAGGAACATAATAAGTTGGCCTATGTAAGGAATTTATATATTCGAGTAAACGATAGAGAAAAATGGTGAAACATCTCAAATTAAGAAACTTTTCTAATATAATTTATATATAAATGACAAAAATAGACGTTACATGAAAAGATTTGCAATGCTTTTTTGCTGGCTGTTGATCAAATTAATTAGCTATATATGTTATTTAACTTAACTACTCTAACTAACACTGGCAATTAACCTGCAGATTGAACAAACTCAATTAATTAGTTAGTTTCAGTAACTCTAACTACTATAAGGTAAACTTCTCTGCCTAATTACAGCCTATATATATTATTATGTATAAATGAAGCTTTGGCCTCTAATTAATTAAATAAAATATGGAATAATTAGCAGCATATATACATATAACGCTTGACGACTTGAGATGCTTTATTAGTTTTTTCTTTTTCTTTTTTTTTGGAAAATTTGTCTCTCCTCATTTATAACAATAATATTGAACGTTATGTATATGTTTTGTGATGCAATTTTGCGTGAAAAATCACAAGAATAATAATTAGCAGTTGTTTCCCTTTTCTAATCAAAACTCCATGCGCTTAAGGAGATCATTAAAAGAAAACAAGAGAATAAAATATATACAACCAAAGAGGGGAAATTACTAGTTTTGATTTGTACATTAGACGTTATCGTATGGATGTTAAATATATACTTTCATGCGATGCACTCACACAAGTACTGTATGTATATATGATGTTACAGAAAATACGTTTAAAATTGTCAGTCTTGCGCCATACTTATTTCTATACTATACAGTGAGCACTAATAATTAGTTGAGAGATATTGTAGAGTATAATATCCTTGGGACAATCATGAGTACAATATATATTTAATATTGTTTCAGAAATGTAAAGTAAAAGGATATGTATTATAGTTGCAAACACGCGCGGAATTCAACATTTTCTTTTTGTTTTCATAGTTATTTCGATTTTTTTTTTTTTGTATTGTTTTTGCTTTAGCTTTAGCTTTAGCACAGTTGAATGATTGTGTAGAAAGGAAAGGTCCTAGTAAATTCTCAGTTACGGCATTGTTTCTGTTTGTAGTCTGTACTGTGAAGCTTTCACTCATTATTGCACTTTCTCTTCTCTTTTTTCTTTTTTCTTGTTTTAAAAAGTCACACATTGCAGTTTTATTAATTTTTCTTTTTTGGCTCTGGTTTTGATGGCTCCGGATAGCCATTAAAAACTGGAGCTATTAACAACTTGCGGGCGCATATTGTGGTCCTCTAGTCGATAATGAGTGCACCCTACGTTAACTTAATATATTACAGCAAATTTATAAAGTGAAATTGCTCATTTTGTGATCATTTCAAAAATAAATAAATAAACCATCTTCTCAGATGAATGTTCTCTGTCTAAACATCTACACACACATGTGGATGTATAAAAAGTGTCACTATATCTATACCAATTGTTGGGTGACATTTCCGCAATCATTAAATGTGTAATAAATTTAAAGGCTCGTCGGAGCCCAAGCTCTCCCGAACCCAAGCTCTCCCAAGCCCAAGCGCTCCCGAGCCCAAGCTCTCATGAGCCCAAGCTCTCCCGAGCCCAAGCTCGCCCAAGCCCAAGCTTGTCGGAGGCCAAACTCTCCCGAGCCCAAGCTCGCCAGAGCCCAAGTTCTCCTAAGCCGAAAGTTCAAAGGTCGCGTGATGTTATCAAGTGAAGTAACCGACGCTAATTGAAGACATTGAATGGTTGAAAGTTAATTCTCATTGATTATTTATCAGTTTTAACTCACAAAAAGGTGAAGAGCCTCATTGTAATTAAGAGAGAATAAACTCTCGAATTAATGGGAGAATTAAACTCCCTCAATCCTAATGTACTATAAATTTCCTCAATTTGAGAGGAAAAGATGGACACTCATTTTCTGAATACAATTGTCTTGTGATTGTCATCATTTTATTTTTGTTATTCATTCAGAGGTTCTTTGTGTTCTTCGAGTGTTCTTCCAATTTTTTTAGATAATTTGCTTATTCAATCCAAATTATTAGTCTAGGGACGCTGGATAGGTGTTGGACGAAATTTTACTCCAACATTTTTGGCACTAGAAAGAGGGCCATAGTGTGATTAACATCCACGGATTCTCATCGGTACTGAAATTTTTCTATCTCATTGCTAAGTCATTTTCAGGTAAGTCTCAAGTGCTCACGTACCCATATTGAAGGAACCCAAACAAGGAGACTCGGCGCTAATCCTAAAAGAGCACCACGTGCTCCTCGTCTACCAACACGCACTGATAGGATCGAAGCACGAGTGAACACATTGGTAGGGATGGTGAATCAGCTTATCACTACCAAAAACACGATTCGTCCAGCAAAAAACTAACAAAGTGGGCCGGGAAATTCTCAGAATGCTAGGAGTGGGCTTAGCCATCGTCGGAGCCAGCATAATGAAGGTAAGGGTCAATCCAATAGGAATCAACCAAGGGACTTGCCCGAGTCGCAAGAACCACGTCAGGCACCTAGGCGTCAGAATGCTTTGTCACGGATTGGGAGTCATCACGTTGTAACTGAAAGAACTAGGACATCGGTGTTTGACAGGATAAAAGCTAACAGTAATAGCGAAAAAGTTGATAGCACCTAGACACCTGGGTCTAATGATTTCACCACTACTGATTTGCGGGATCGACTCAACGCACGACAGAATGTAGAAGCAATTGTACCTATGCCCTTAAACAACCAGGTAACTCAAAACAGGAGTAGGAGGAGAGCCGAAATACCACAATCTTCTTGGAGCCAAGTAAATAGGGCGAACCAGAACTGAAACTGACGTGATAATCAAGGAGGCATGAGTCAATCCAACCAGAGCACCCGTGAGGAACAACTCGAGTAGCAACTCGAAATGATGCAAAGATGAATGGATGACATAGAAGCCAACAAGAATTTGCCGGAAGGTGTAAGAGACTTGTTAGATGAAACAGAGCCACCATTCACTGAGGCCATCATAGCATAGGAATTCCCTGATGATTTCAAGATGATTCCCATCAAGCAGTTTGATGGGAAAGAGAATCCAACAGGACATATACATGGGTATAGCACATGGATGCGAATTCGGGGAGCCACACAAGCTCAGATGTGCCAGCATTTTTTTTTACACTTACTGGGCCGGTGCTTCAATGGTTCCAACAATTAAAGCCAAGGTCAATTAGTTCGTTTAACCAGCTGAAACAACAATTTGTAAGACGATTTGTGATAGTGAAAACTCACAAGAAAGATAAGCTTTATCTGTTCTCCCTTAAGCAAGGCGCTAATGAATCGGTAAAAGCCTACATTGAATGTTTCAGCCAGAAAATGAATTACTTAGAAGGATACACTGATAGTGATGCTGTGACTGCAATTCGGGGAGGGCTTTAGGAATGTGACTTACTGAAGTCAATTTGCAAAAAACAACCAAAAACCTTTACCGATCTCGTGATTCGAGCTCAGAAGTTCATTAGCACTGAAGAATACATGTGCAATCGGAGAGGACAATCTCAAACGGATCAATCAAAAAATGATGGAAAGCGGAAGGTAGAAGAAGGATCTAATGGAGGAGAAGCAAAAAAGCAAAAGTCAGAGGCACAACAGGACGTGAACAAATCCAAGACTACCTTGACGCAAAAGTTCTAAGCTTACGCTCCACCAGATACGACAAAGGCCTACATACCCTTGAATACGACAGTGGCACAAATGTTAATGCAGATTCAACATCAGAATTTGTTGACGCCTCCGGCCCCTATGAAGGGAGATCCTAACAAGAGGGATAAAAGTAAATATTGTGACTTTCATAAGGACCATGGCCATGACACCTCAAGTTGCTTTCAATTAAAAGGACAGATTGAGGCACTTATTCAACAAGGCCAGTTGCAGGAGTTTGTGGACAGAGTGATAGCAAAGAGAAGAACTGCACTCCCGACAACAATGGAAAAACAAGCAACGATCGTACAGGAAATGAGTACAACAGTTGGGAATAATTCTGCGCTGAAACTGGTGATTCCATGCGGGCTCGGAACCTGTATGCTCGATAAGCTAAAGGTCTTGATTGTGGCCAATTTATAGATATGACAGAACATGTCGTAAAATTTGTGAAGATGGAGAACATCGCCATAACGTTCACAGAAGAGGAGGCACGGAAGTTGCTTCATCCACATAACGATGCCATAGTTGTGTCTTTACAAGTGGCAAATAGCTTAGTCCACCGGATTTTGATCGACAATGAGAGTTCAGTGGATATACTATTCAAGGATGCTTTAAACAAAATCAACCTAGGTGGAGCAAAGTTAACACCCGTGAACACCTCACTCTAAGGCTTTACTGGAGCATGCATTCACGCTGAAGGAATGATAACAGTCCTAGTTACTATGGGAGAAGGGGAGACAAAGGTGACAAGAATGGTAAATTTTTTAGTTGTGGACCAACCATCTGCTTACAATGCCATTATAGGGCGACCAACTTTGAATGCAATGAGAGCAGTAACTTCAACATATCATCTAATGATGAAGTTTCCAACAAAGAATGGCGTTGGAGTGGTGGTCGGAAGCCAACATGATGCATGAATATGCTATGTGCAAATAACCAACGAGAAGGTTGAGTCGAAAGGAAGGGAAGTCTAGAAAAGTGCTGACACATATTTGAAATGTTAAGCACATCAGGAAGTATTATCAATACTTAAAAAGTTTGAAGTTTAGTGTGTGTTTATACTTCGATGTGATGCCAGGTTTGTCAGGCGAAACATATTATTACTAAATAAAGTCGAAGTGTTTGATAATTTATTCTTTAAATATTTTCTTTCTCATTCTGTTCAATATGACAAAGAAAATAGGGGGGATAGGAGTTTATTAATTCAAGTGAAATTATACAAGAAAATAAAAAAAAAACCCGACCCCAAGTGGGCACGGGAAAATAAAAAAAAAAAGAGCTTCAGCTCAAAAAAAAACTCGACCCCAGGTGAGCACGGGAAAATCCAAAGAGCTTTAGCTCAGAAAAACCTGACCCCAAATGGGCACGGGAAAATAAAAAAAGAGCTTCGGCTCGCAAAAACTCGACCCCAGGTGGGCACGGGAAAAATCCAAAGAGCTTTAGCTCAGAAAAACCCGACCCCAAGTGGGCACGGGAAAATAAAAAAAAAAAAAGAGAGAGCTTCGGCTTGGAAAAACTCAACCCCAGGTGGGCACGGGAAAATCCAAAGAGCTTTAGCTTAGAAAAACCTGAACCCAAGTGGGCACGGAAAAATAAAAAAAGAGCTTCGGCTCAAAAAAACTTGACCCCATGTAGGCACAAGAAAAATCCAAAGAGCTTTAGCTCAGAAAAACCTGACCCCAAGTGGGCTAAAAAAAAAAGAGCTCTGGCTCAGAAAAACTCGACCCCAGGTGGGCACGGGAAAATCCAAAGAGCTTTTGCTCAGAAAAACTTGACCCAAAGTGGGCTCAGGAAAATAAAAGAAAAAAGAGCTTCGGCACGGAAAAATCAGACCCTAAGTGAGCACGAGAAAATAAAAAAAAGGCGTCGGCTCAGAAAAACTCAACCACAAGTGGGCACGGGAAAATCCTCAGCCAAGGGGGAAACTTGGCTAAAGTAAAAACCTGACCCCAGGTGGGCACGAGATAACTCTAAATAAAAAAAAAATATTATTGCTAGTCTACATTGATAAAATGTAGCAATTGCAAAGAAAAATAAAAAAAATTATTATGTTGCAGGAAAGATAACAAAAGAACAAGTTTCAATGAAGAAAAAAGTGCCAGGCAACCGGGCCCAAGTACACAAGAGCAAGCATGAAGAATAGAGTACAGGGCTAAAAAAAAGAAAAAAAAAAGCTTCTAGGTGTTGCTTGGTGGATCGATACTTGAGGATCGCTGCTTGGTGATTTTTCCAAATCCTTCATAGGTTCAATGATCTCATCATCAGAGTTGAAGTCATTTGGTGTAGGTGTCAAAGGAGTCTGAACAACATGAGAACTGCTAAGAGGATCAAATGAGAGATTAAGGTCAAGGTCTTTGTTATAGAAAATGATTGCCTTCTTGGCTTCTTCGTAGCCTTTCCAGAACTCGTCTTCAACAAGCTCGACTTTATCAGCCTCATACTTGGCATGGCAGAGCTCCAAATCTTTCTTCACTCGCTCGAGTTCCCTTAGAGACATATCAAGAGCAGCTTTAGTCTCCACAAGAGTCTTCCTATCATTTACACAAGAAGATCCGCGAAGAGCTAAAAACAATAAAAAAAAAAGGGTTAAACAAATTGGCTTAGGAAAGTCTAAGCGCAATTTTGGCTCAGGTGGCACTGAAGTGCCCATGAAGTAAGTTCACGTCCTTGACTATGCGGTGGGAAGATACTATGTGAATCGCATGCACTGATCTTGCATAATCATTCACATGTGATAGTATTGTTCGGAAAGCAAGGACGTTGAATTCAAGAAGAGGAAATGGACGAATGTGGCAAGTGCAAGAAATGCTAAAAATGGAGGTGGAAATATCATATTGGGAATCTCGTAAAATTGAGCTTCCCAATCTTAGTTTCATAAGTTTCTATGCATGGTACAGTCGGTGGATGTTCTCTAATGTGCACACTTCATACATTAGTCTCGAAGTCAAATGAAGTGAAAGCATTGCCCATTGGGGGTGAATCACGTAGTGGACAAGGATCACAAGTGAAAATGTGGCTTTATTTTCTTTCCATTAGCGTTTGAGGCAATTAACATTATTCATGAATTCCGCAGATTTGAGTCTGTTCCAAACAAAGAAAGAAATTTTAGAAAAATTTCATCAAATTTTCGACATTCATGGTATGTTGGAAGGGAGAAACAAAGTTCGGTAAAAAAAAGAAGGAAAAATTCTGGGCAGGTTTTCGTCCCCTTCGCTTGGCGTGCGACACTCGTGGACTGGGGGGCTAATGTTGGGCGGCATTTTCGCAATCATTAAATGTATAATAAATTCAAAGGCTCGTCGGAGCCCAAGCGCTCCCGAACCCAAGCTCTCCCGAGCCCAAGCGCTCCCGAGCCCAAGCGCACCCGAGCCCAAGCGCTCCCGAGCCCAAGCTCTCCCGAGCCCAAGCTCTCCCGAGCCCAAGCTCTCCCGAGCCCAAGCGCTCCTAAGCCCAAGCTCGCCCGAGCCCAAGCTTGTCGGAGGCCAAACTCTCCCGAGCCCAAGCTCGCCCGAGCCCAAGCTCGCCAGAGCCCAAGTTCTCCTAAGCCGAAAGTTCAAAGGTCGCGTGATGTTATCAAGTGAAGTAACCGACGCTAATTGAAGACATTAAATGGTTGAAAGTTAATTCTCATTGATTATTTATCAGTTTTAACTCACAAAAAGGTGAAGAGCCTTATTGTAATTAAGAGAGAATAAACTCTCGAATTAATTGGAGAATTAAACTCCCTCAATCCTAATGTACTATAAATTTCCTTAATTTGAGAGGAAAAGAGGGACACTCATTTTCTGAATACAATTATCTTGTAATTGTCATCATTTTGTTTTTGTTATTCATTCAGAGGTTTTTTGTGTTCTTCGAGTGTTCTTCCAATTTCTTTAGATAATTTACTTATTCAATCCAAATTTTTAGTATAAGAACGTTGGATAGGTATTGGACGAAATTTTACTCCAACACAATATTTTGGAAACTGAAAATGACTATGGAAGAAGTTCGATATCGATAATTCGGTATGGAGGCTGATCTTTAAAATGGCATGGATATATTCTAAATTATAGCTGGGCCAGCGGTTTTAGTTCTACATGAAATTTTGACGAAATTTTCTTTTTCTTTTTTTTTTTTAACTTGGGGACTTTTCTTACTATTTATAGCTATAGACCGTCATGGCTTTTTCTTTGAGTAAATAGTAGGATATACTAATATATATATATATAGGCAAAGTCTCTAATTCGGCACTGGAATTTGTACATTTCTCTATAAAATATGTATATTTTTTCTTTAGAACGTGTATATTTTCTCTTAAAAGATGTACATTTCCTTTTATAGTAAAATATACAATATGTACACATTCTAAAGAAGAAATGTACACATTCTAAAGAAGAAATGTACACATTCTAAAGAAGAAATGTCAAGTGCCGTTCCAGTCCGCATACCGGACTGGGAGACAAATATATAATGTCTTTGCAAGTAAAAAAGAAAAGTATATATATGAAATAACAGTACAGAAAGCCAGCAGCATTCGATGATTTGTTCGTTCGGTAGAACTATAATTCTTTAGCAGCTGGGAAAGAAAAGGACAGATTATTTTTTGAAGTATTTACAGATGAAATGGATAAACTTTTTTACTTTTTTTTTCTCATAAAAAATAAGGAGTTTCTCTAGTAGAACTGAAAAAAATAAATTACTAGTAGTTCTTTACTTTTCAGACTTTATATATGTATAAAAATTGTCTATTATGCATATTTTTTTAACCTAATGTAGTTTTAATTAGATTTAACTTTCAAAAATTGATCCTATCAAAGGTCCCTAAAAATAAATATAAAAAAATGTACCTTCTTATAAAGTAATAAAGTTGACACTTATACTAAATTCCCTCTCGTTATAATATTAAAAAACTAAAATAAAAGTTTTTTTTTTTTTTTTACTATTTGTACATATACTCTCTCAATTTTTAAAATTTTGACAATTTGGTTTTTATTCTTTTTTTTTTCTTGGCAATTGACTCATTCAATTTAAAAATCTTTACAATTAAGAACCAATCGAAAACAACATATGTTTTCTTGATGATTCTAATCATGTGATGTACACTTGAGCATCTGTTGAGGGTAATTAAGGTCATATGTCATATCTCACCCCATTTGTTCGATCATATTGATGTTAGAGTCATCTAGCGTGTCTGAAAATAATAAGCTATAATAAATAACTCTTAGTTTTAAAAGTCATTATCCTTAATAGTCGTTCTAATGGTAGGAAATGACTTTCATTGCCCTCAACAAATATTTACATGCGTGTCATATGATCAGAATCGTAAAAAAAAAAAAAAATAGATGTCGATTTCGATTGGTCCTTAATTATAAAGATTTTCAAGTTTAAAGGGGTAATTACAAAAAAAAAAAAAAAAGAGAATAGAGATCAAATTATCAAATTTAAAAAGTTGAGCGGGTGTCTATAAAAAAAAACTTTTTTTTAATTAAAAAGGGAAAGAAAAGTAACGGAAAATAAAGTAGCCGAAAAGGCTTACAAACTCATCCTAAAATAGAAAACAAAAACGTGAACTTATTGGTACTTTAAGGTTAAAATATCTAAAAAAACTGTGAATAAAAAACCTGTTTGCGAATGTACAGGTAATACATGTAAATATATGTATATGAATATTATAAAAATAACATCAGGTGATTTGTGAATGACGATATACAATCGTTTACAATGTGAACAAATAATATTGTTTCAAGTATATTTTATGCGTACAGCTCGGTGTCGACGTTATTATTGTGGGTCCATACGTAATATTATTTCCCATGATTGAAACAACCTGACCACCACACATTATTTATTTTCCACTGTAATTTTTGTCCTCTCACGAGTCATGATAGCTCAGACGCCATCATCTTTTGCTGTATGTATTTAGGTCATTGTCACTTGAGGAAAACCCATACTACTTGTCACTCATTGGAAATTAATTAATTATTAAAACGAAGACTAGCTAGTACACAAATTTAGTATTATATATATATATATAGCTATGTATATATAGATCAGCTAGGAATATATCTCTACTAGCTAGCATATAAAGAGAGTGTAGTTTTATGTTCTGAGTCTCGGAGTTATTAGCGAGAGAAGGGGAAAATTATGGAATCCGTTAGACTACAAAGCCTTGAAAATGAAGCTCATAAGCATAATCAAAAGCTCTCTTCATCGGAAACTACAATTTCAGGAGATGATCAAGCACGAGGATCTCAAGATGTATCTAAACGAGGAGGCTGGATTACATTTCCTTTCATTATGGGTTGAGATCTCTTAATTGTTTTTCAAATATATCTTCCTTCATTTGTTATTTCCATCTCCTTGTTAATCTGTATTTTGTTATATATATATGTGTATATATATATTGTGTTGGTTATCTATATTTTACGTTTTTTAACTTGTTGGTTTGTTTGGAACAGGAAATCTGGCAGGTCTTTCAGTGGCAGCGGGTGGCTGGGGAGCAAATTGGATAGTGTTTCTGATAACTAAGTTTCACATTGGGAGCATAGCCGCTACGAAGATAAACAACGTTGGCTTTGGCTTTGTCAATCTGTTTCCGATCGCCGGCGCCATCATCGCCGATACCTTCACCGGAAACTTCACCGTCGTCAGTGTTTCTTCCTTCATAGCTTTGATAGTAAGTAAACAAAGTTTGTAATATTAATCTGATTATCGGTTAATTAATTGACCAACAAGTTTCCAACTCAACTAAAGGCAAGGGGTTTACTTTATAAATAAAAAAATAAAAAAAGATGCATTTAAAATAATTCTTCCCTCCCGGAAACTTGAAAAACACTCATTTAATAATATATTTTTTTTTTCTCCTTTTCAGAAAAAGAACATCCATCTAATAGTTGAAAAGGACAAATAAAAAAAACCCCTTTCGTGTACAATTAATACTCAGTTTTCTTATGCAATTTCATGTATACTTTTATCTTAAAATTTGGTCGGGTGATGTCGATAACTAAGTCCTTATTGCGAATTGAGATGTAGTGCTTGGAAAATCAGAATTTTAAATTGGTAAGGTATTGTCTTGAATCATCTAGTCTGTATAATATTTTGTTAATTTTGTGTACTTTTTATTTTGATATAATTTTGACTAGATTTAATTAAGGTTCAGAAACATGCAAGTTCTATAAAATTGAAAGTCATGGTTAAGGGGAAAAAAATCTTGTAACTTGCTGAACTTTTTCAGGGCATGGCAATGTTAACCCTAATAGCTGGAATCCATTCCCTAAAACCTTCACCATGCGAGGTAGGCTCAACAACATCATGCGAAAATCCAACGAAGCTTCAATATCTCTTCCTCTACACAGCAATGGGATTAACCACACTGGGTGTCGGAGGCTCCCGCTTCACGATCGCTACATTGGGAGCTGACCAGTTCGACAAAACGGACCACCAAGGCGCTTTCTTCAATTGGTTTTTTGTCGTCTTGTATGTCGGAAATGCCATTAGCTTTATCGCAATTGTCTACATCCAGGACAACATTGGCTGGGGATTAGGGTTTGGAATTTGCCTTATCATGGTCGCGATAGGGTTGGTTCTGCTTCTGCTAGGGAAACCGTTCTATCGTCTCCTCAAACCCAAGGGAAGCCCCTTTGTGAGCATAGCGCGAGTACTCGTCGCGGCCATTAGGAAGAGGAAAGTATCAACTAAAAGTTTAGAGAGCTTGGATTACTGTTATGGAACAACTGGGATGTCAAAAATGGTCCAAGGCACACCAAGCAAAAGTTTCAGGTACGTTACAAAAGTTTGCTATACCTGCATATAATTGATATGTGAAAAAAAAAAAAAAAAAAATTTAACGGTCAACAGTGTGTGAAAAATAATTGATAAGTTATGCCACTTGCCACGTAAATATTTGATTAAGGTTGAAGATTTCATGATCTGCTGCTTATTATGCCTGTTTATGCTTTTATTTTTGTCAAGAGATCATGATTATAAGTAGAAATTAATTGTTCATTCATGATATATTGTTCATATTGTCTGGTGGACGTGGGCAGGTATTGGCGTGGAAGTATCTTACAAGTTTTGAATTTCTTTGGCTTGAACTTTACTAATGTGATTAATATCATCATGTGTGCTAAATTTATTAATGATAAAACTTTCATATGCATTCTAGCTGGAAATCCATTTTTACACGTTGAATATCCATCTTTTGATGAGGATTTGCTACAGGCATATCCTGAAAATGATGTTGATTGACATTGCGGCAACATTGAAACTCCTTGAAAATCATTTGCCATCCATACTGTATAACAGATAATGTAATTTGTCCTCTACGGCCTATTGCTCCACTTAGAAGCACAGTTTTTTAAAACTATCAAATAGGAAAAATATTGTAGTATAATATTCCAGGTTCCCTTTGGTGATCAAATACATGTTTGACCCTTTGTCCTGCACCTAACACTCCCCAGACATTAGTCAAATCTCATTTCCATTTAAAAGCGACAAACTAATTAGTTGGGAGTCCTACCAATTATATATATATATATATATATATGTCCCCTCGGTCCTACTATAATTAGTTGTGAGTGTGTAAGTTTTAGCTTTTCTATAAAATACTTTTTTGTTTCCTTTCTCTGCCAAAAATATAAACATATTTGAAAAAAAATTACATGCCTTCAAATAATTATACCAGGTTGCTAACAATATAATATACATTTGTTTACGTGTTTTGTTTGATTCTTCTGATCTATACATACAGAGTCGATGGAATTAATATCGAATTTTTAGGGCCTACCCTAATTTAATAAATAATAACTATTAGCACTTTCCTTTTACATGTATATTATACTTGTTTGTTGCCTAGTTGTTGTCTCTCTAATTATTAAGTGCACGCATAATATTGAATATTCTATATTGTACATACAGATTCTTGAATCGTGCAGCGTTGAAAACTGAAAACGACAGACAATCCCACGGCTCTTACCCAAAATCATGGAACCTTTGTACGGTGGAGGAAGTGGAAGACCTCAAAACGGTGATGAAAATCCTTCCACTATGGTCAACCGGCATTCTCTTGAGCATCACCATCGCCATAGTCAACAGCATGTCAACCGTCCAAGCCCTAACCATGGATAGGAAACTGGGGTCCATCAAAATCCCAGCTGGGACCTTACTAGTCTTCAGCCTCATGTCCACAGCCATCTCAATCTTTATCATCGACCGGTTCCTCCTCCCAATGTGGAGAAAACTCAGTGGTCGCCCCTTAACACTTCTCCAACGAATAGGAGTAGGCCATGTTATCAATGCCATTGGGATGGTGGTGTCCGCCCTAATCGAAGCTAGGCGGCTCCACCTAGCCCGATCCGAGGGCGTCACCCATCAGCCCGGTTCAGTTGTGCCCATGTCAGCCTTATGGCTAGTGGTGAACCTAGTCATTATAGGGTTCGGTGAGGGGTTTCAATTTCCTGGACAAGTTGCGTTGTATTACCAGGAGTTCCCGGAATCATTGAAAAGCACTTCGACGGCCATGATCTCATTCTTGATTGGGTTAGGGTATTATCTTAGCGCCGCGGTGATGAATTTTGTTGACCGGACGACCGGTTGGTTGCCTAATAACATAAACGAGGGGCATGTGGACAAGGTGTTTTGGTTGTGTGCAGTGATTGGAGTTGTTAATTTTGGGTTCTATTTGGTTTGTGCTTGGTTGTACAAGTACCAACGTGACCGAAATGCTGATGATGATATTGGTGAGCAGCAGCCTACCTAATTTGGATCTCTAGTAAAGTTTCTAATACTAAGTTTGATAATCAACAAGAAAAAAAAAAAAGGAACAATAGATGAATAAATTTTAATTTAGTAATGATCAGTGGAGTCGCTTTGGAAGTAGTTCTTTATCGTCTTCTCCTTTCTTTTTCCTTTAGTTGTAACTCACATGTACAATTCTCATTCCAAACATTTTCAATCTGTAATTAACTAATTGGTTTATGATTTTTTTATGATTATTTTTATTTTGGCTCACTCTTAAAAAAGTTTAAGTTAAATTGTTACATTAAGAATCACAATTTCTGGTTACATATGTTGAGATAATTAATTTTTTGGATGACAAATCACCAGTTTAAAATTGTAATGAGAGTAGAAGTGTCGTTGCCTCTAGGATTGATTGAAGTTTGTTAATTATGTGTGCCACATGGCTCCTTACAATTGACATATGAAGAAGTTCCATTAAAAACAATAAGACTACAACATAATTCTACCACCCAAAAATGCTCACGACCGAAATATTTTAATAAAAATAAGATGAAACTAATCAGAAAACAAATGATTTTTAATTTTGGGATAAAATCATTTTTAATTTTGAAATGAGTAGAATAATAAATTAACTTGCTCTTATTTGTATCAAAACCGATGTGGGATAAAACGCAATATATAACCTAACCGAAGACAAAAAGCTCACTCCACAATTGATGTGGGACCAAGATAAAAAGTCAAAAATCCAGCAAATACTAGTAACTAAGAGTATGTTTGGTAGGAGGGAGAGATAGAAGGAAGAAAAGAGGTGGAAGGAGAGGGATGGAAAGAGAGGTTTAATCTCTTGTTTGGTTGGAGGGCGAGAAGGAGGGAGAGGAGAGGTGAGTGGGTGTGCTCTCCCTCATGATCCACCAAATTAGATCCTTTTATTGATGTGAGGATTCAAGTAATCCATCACTTTTAACTTTAAAAGACTATTTTACTCTCTGATTAAATTATTAACAAAAAGTTTAAATAGACAATATAATAATTTAATAAAGAATTGTCATCTATTCTTTTAACTGTCATTTCATCCTATCAAACAATATAAAAGATTATTATAATCCTCTCCATCCTTCCTACTCTCCATCCATCCAACTCTCTTCATCCTTCTAACTAAAGGGAGCCTAAGCGGCATGAAAGACTATTCATTTACTATCAACTAAACTGTAATGCAGATCTAGTTTTTCAAACGGACATTTTTTTATCATAATTTAATAGTAGATTCAGTAGATTCAATCGGGAAATTAGTACTTTGAGTAATTGTATAGTGATTCGATTTATGACCAAAATTCTTTATCTGATTGTATGTGTCTGGTGTTGTAACACAGTCTGGGACATGACTTAATTAAATAAGATGTGAATTAATCTAGCAAACATTTTACCATGTTCGAGCAATTATAGACACTCACAGACTTATTTACATAGGAATCTCTCCTAAACAATGATGCCGCTGTGATGAATTTTCACAGTGATACTGTTTACCGTGCACCACATGTTTCTATTCACCCAGCAAACTCCCTTCGTTTGGCAAATCTTCCTCCTAAAAGCAACAAATGCATAATGATTAACACTCAAAGGCTCTCAAAAGCACATACGTCTTTCTGAATATTTCTTTGTAAAAGCTCTCAAACTCACAAACTTTTTTTTTGGATATTTTCTTTATTAAATCCGTACCAGATTATGAGCTGCGATGAATCCTTTAAATAAAGCTTCTTAAATTTCACGAGGATCTTATTCAAATTCAAACTTGGATAAGATCACTTTTATCTCCATAACTCCAATAAGATCATCCTTCTTCAAATTCGGATTGTGCAACCAACCTCTTTCTGATTCAAACAATCCGTACATCAATCACTTTATCTTCACGCTTAACCACTTCTAAAGACTTTGAATTATGTAGCACATCTTTCAAATTCAAAACAAGATATATATATATATATATCTAAATATGATGCCTTTGAAGTATATCTCGCGTGACCAAATTGAAATAAACCAATACAAATTCGGATTACAACTACTTTTCAAATCCGAATTACTCTTTCAAATTAGTAACTTAATCACCCGAATCTCGTATATCAGTGGCTTTTACCACGGCACTCTTTGAATTTTAAAACAACAACTCTTTCAAATCCGCAAACAACGAGATCTTCACACAAAATCTGCCCTTGAGATTAATAGATTAACCCAAAATCTGCACTCGCGATCACGGATGAATAGGAATCTGCACCAGAAAATCTTCAGATAAAAATACCTGACACTATCCACACTTGTGTGGTTGTTCCCCTTCGAGATGGCTGGCCCCGCCTTGTGGACAATTGAAGATAAATGTAGATGCAGCTGTTCGTGACGGCGTTCCGTTCATTGGCGTAGGAGCGGTGGATTAGAAGATCTAATGGCGCAGTCTTGGCAATGTTGGGCTCGGCAAATTGATGGAAGTTTTTCTCCGCATTCTGCTGATTGAGTTGCTTTAAGGGAAGGTCTGTTCTTTGCATCTGATGTAGAATTACAAGTATCTATTGTTGAGAAGGATACAATTAATAGTTGTCAGTCTGTGAGATCTCGTGTGGATTTATATGGAAAAAAATATATATATTTTTGATGGGGGTCTCGTCGCCTCGTTGAATGACGTTGGCGAGTTTCAGAGCCGAGTGGAGAGCTTTCATCGCCGGCAAGAGATGTGCGATGAGGCTCTTGTTGGTGGTGGTGGGGATTTTGTTGTTGCTGATGTATCACCGTGTATGTTAATTTTGGTTTTCATATTTTTCGTCGTTTGTATGACCATTTCGTTTTAATTGTCTGAATTTTGTATTTCCAATGTGCTGTCGTTTGAGATATATGTTGTTTCGTCTTGAGACTGTTATTGGTTCAACCTCAATACCAGCTTCACACACTAAATAGACTTTTTTTTTTTTGTAATAAAATTTTGAATTAAAAGGCATCACTGTTATTAGGGCCCTTTTCTTCATAGGTTTGTATTTCTATTTAAATTTTCTATACAAATTAACTTACAAAAAGTACAGAACCTTAGCTTATTATATATTTTGTAGGCTGTAGCCTATCGCATAACTGACATTGTAGCGCAGCATGTTGGTTCTAAAAATATTTCAACCTTGCAAAAGTCAAGTGTCACAATAGATCTAGCCATTTTTGGCCAAAATCGAAATGGAAAGGAAAATAATATTGGCCAAACATTACTACGCATATATAAAGATGCAAAAACAACTCTTAACAGTTCAAAAAGCGCTTCATATGATGAGCTGGACCCTTAGGTTCCGCAAATTGCAAACCTATTTGATAGATAAGAACATTAAACAAAATGATACCAAGTTTTCTTCACACAGACAATATTTACTTGGCGAGTTTCCTATAAATGGAAACTTTAAATACAACTTGGTAATTCCACTTAATCAGCTCAAAGATGCATATATCTCCTGGAGAAGGAGAGTTCTCTTTTGCAAATGCAGACCATCCACCAGAGAACATGTAAGTAGAAGCAGATGGATAAGCCAATAAATTGACGGGCCAAGACCTCTCAGCTACCTGAAGAGTCGTGGTTTGCGAGTTTTTCATGAAATAACTCCACGCAAAACTACCTGGTAGATACTGCAAAATTATCAAGAAAATCGTTAAGGCATTTGTACAAAGATCTTGCTAATAACAGATTCATGTACTGATCAATTCAAGGCAAAATGCCCTTATAACTAGTTCTTTTTTTTTATAATTGAACAACATTTATTCACACTTACCAGTGCATTCTTCCCCAGTTGGCCTGATGCAAAATCCACTCTGAATTGGGGGCTTTTGAAACAAAATTTGCAGCCGGCAGCTTCAGAAGCTCTCCCAGCTCGACCTGAAGAGGATGGCCTCTGAATGGCTTGGCCTCTAGTTTTATTCTCATTAGATCTTACCTTCCTGAACTTGCCTGCAACTAAATCAACAAAAACAAGACGTAATATTCCTAAGCAACAAACACTATTTCTTAGGAATGTTGGAGATTTTTATTAAATAACTAATAGCATTACATACCTTCAGGTTTGAGTTCGACAACAATTTCCTCTTGTTCTTGCTTAGTGATTGAATTCAGTGGAAAGCTGATTTCATTGTTTCTAGTACAACCAAGTTCATTATAACTCGGCAATTCTCTCCGGTTTGACAAGTTTGGTTGCTTTCTCACCAGCTGAAAACCATGCATAAAATGTGACGACCCTAACTTTTGATCATCATCATATGTTCATACCTAACATTTCTTGACCTCTACTACTCTCTAATTATAACTCTTTTAAAAATTCAGGCCGATTTTTTTTCATATACGTCCAAATACTGTAGCATTTAGCTAGTATTCTCTTTTCATTCATAAATGCTGCAGCACTCTATTTCCAACTATTCGTGAAATGCTGTAGCATTCTGTTTTCAACTATTATGAATTGTTGTAGCAATCCGTTTTCAACTATTATGAATTGCTGTAGTAATTCGTTTTCAACTATTAGGAATTGTTGTAGCAACCCGTTTTCAACTATTATGAATTGTTGTAGCAATTCGTTTTCAACTATTAGGAATTGCTGTAGCAATTCGTTTTCAACTATTACAAATTGCTGTAGTAATCCATTCGTGACTAGAGGTTGCTATACATAGCCTCATTGTCTCGTGAACTGTTCTTTCGTTACGTAAGTCATTTATATTCATAAACACTATTTCATTTTACACATAAGGTTCTGCAGCGTTTTCAAAACACGTGATACATCCATAACCCACTTGCCCACATTCCGTTGCTACATCCTCTCCACATGCCCAGCATCAAGTTTCAGGGAGCCGGTGCCTTACCTGAGCTTCCTACAACACAAACAAACTTAATGAGCTTTTGCTCAGCAAGTATCAATAGGTCATAACATATGCAATAATTATGCATACCCATATATGCATTCATGTCATATATCCTAGTACAGAATTATGAACGTTTTTCATTTCGTGTTTCTCATTCTTTTCATTCTTCTTTACGGATACCATACCTTTATATGGAGTGGTTTCCGTGTTTCATTTTCTTGTCTTTTACTTCTTATGGGCCCTGTCCTGTTGTACCATAGCGCGCATAACCAGTGAGGAGTGGGCCGGTAGCTAACCAATCCAACTCAGTCACGGTTTTATTTCTTTTATAGTCTCATAATAACATTTCCTTCGAATGCTGGTACAAACAGGACGATTAGTCTCTTACTGTTTATCAATTTTCTCATTGAAACGGTAACTTTTAGTTAAATATTATGAGTTTGTGCATTATTGAGCATTTTATCATGAGATTAACTTTTCATTTCTCTTAGTTTGATCTCGACTTAACATCGATACATATTTTTGCAGAACAAAGTTCTACGATTACATAAGTCTTGTAGATACATACTTAGCATAGTATCTAACATTCACATTGTATCTAACATTTAAAATTCTACTACATGCACAATTTTGTGCAACATAGAAAAGTAAGCTTGTTCGTGATATAACCATAGAAAAACTATTGTACTTACCAAAGTTCCGCTAACAACGCGTCCTTTGTTTCACTTGACGCTTTCCGACTTCAAGCCTTAATTGATCCTATTGCATAAATTTTCGATTATTAGATTCAAAATCTAAGATCAATAACTAAATTGAAATTTACTTTGGAAAGGTCTACAATCCTTATATTTGGTATTCAATCCCAAAATATTTCCTATCTCAAGAATTTGCACTAAAACCGTGCAAATTACTCAGTCATGGGCCTAATTTCCAGTTTCAATCCAAAACTGGGAATTCTCGTTGTGTTCGGTTTCTGAACCTCAATCTATTCATTCCCGAGTCTTAACACTGTTATTCATTTTCGAGAATCGAATTCCTAACTCATTTCTTACTACCTAGGTTTTTTAGAAATTTCGGCAGAATTTTGCCTAGTTTTTCTCTTTTCTCGAGTTTTTAATAACTCGTTCTAATTCCGATTTCGGTACCTGGAGTCAAGATTCATATTCCTTAATACAGATTCCAACATAAAATTGAACAAAAACTCATGTTCCTCATTCTCTAGGGTTTTCGGATTTCTTAGAGTAAATCTAGAAAAGTTCATTCAATCGTTTCAATACATATACCATTAGACTCCTATCACAGTCCCCATCAAAACCCCAGTTTCGATTTTCAGTTTTACAGATTTTTTCCGAGATGACTTACTATTCATCGAAACAAAAAAGTAAGCAGTTTCTCACGAAAAATCTAAAATCTTACCTCGAAAAGTTGAGATTCTCCGTAGAATGCCTCGGGTTATATTTCTACTGGACTAAACGGAAGAAATTTCGGTAAAAACGGGTGATTCTTTGATTTTCTCTCTTTTTCTTCTTTTCCCTCTTCTCTCGGCCACACATAGGAAAATAGAACAAAGTGGCTTCTAATTCCTTCACTTCACGTTCTTAAGGCTTAAGGCATAAATGAATATAATAATAATAATTCTTATAATATCTTATATTACTTTCTAAATTTAGGAAATTACTTTAATTCCCATAATTTAATTTTACTAATTCCACTTAGGTTTAACACTTAATTTAAGTGGTTCTCTATTCCCCACATTTTTCTTGTCGAGACTTAACTTTTCGTTTCTCAAAATGAGTCTCTTTCCGGTACTGATAATTTCACGACCAGTACAGGTTCTATACTGCTTTTTCAGACTGTCGAGCACCCTGGGTCAAACTTCTCATGTTCAACTCAATTCTCTTGGGTATCTCATTAGTCAATTTCTTTTTCTGAAATCATCATTTTAATTGATTCAGAATTGTCCAAAACACGTACCCTTACGGTACTCATTTTTTTAGCAGTTTCCCGCTTTAACTGACTCGAAAAAATTCTATTTCAGAAACTTTTGCTATTTTTCTTACTTATAATATTTCTACTTTTTTTTTAATTAGGCATTTGGTCACAAACCAAATATTTCAGTTTTCATAACTAAAATATACTCGTTAAAATTTCTAACTTTTAACTGATATTTCACTATTCATAACTGATATTTATGAATTTTTTTTGTAAAAATATTCGTATTATAACCTTACACTTTTCGGGAGATTTTACCCCGTATATAAAGTTTTTACATAATATTTCCTTGATCAAGTTGAAAATGCTACTACTTTCTGTTCCGGAAGAAATTAAAAATACTAAATTACTACACCCAATTGCCATTACAGATATGAATTTTTATTGATAGAGAAATGTTCCTAATTACCTAGGGGCAGTTGATCAATATGTGCCTTAACAATGGAAACTTTGAATAACATGTCATTGCCATTGCCTTCATGTATTAGCTCAAAAGTGCATATATGGCCTTCTTCCATATTATTGTCTCGCGCAAATGTATTCCATCCATGACAGAACTCAACTTACAATGTGATCACTAATCTGTTTCTTACTCTATATAGGACAGGCCAAGATCTACCATCTGAAACCTCAAGTATGGCATTGGTTTTTTTCTTGTTAATGTATGTCTTTGCAAAGTTGCATGGGATGTGCTGCCCAAATGAAATGAAAATAATCACAAAACTGAAAACTCGGATAACAAAAACAGAATGAAAAAAAAGGGGGAACGTAGTTGGACTGAAAACTTACAAAAGTGCCCTTACGAGCTGCATATGAAGCTCGCATAGCAACGGTGAAGAATGGATTTTCAGATCGAAACCCGCGCACGTTTTCAAGGTCAGCTCTAGCTTTTTTGTTGAGAGTTTTGCGTGATTCTAGTTTACTTGAAATGGTTGCAGCCTCGTGCACTAGAGATATAAGTAAAGACAACTACAGTGAAGGAAAATGAGATTATATATGCTGTAGATTCTGAAATAACCAGATTTCATATTTACCGGGTAACAAAGAGGAATTTCCTATTTCATTTTTGCGGAAAATGGAAACTTCAAATACAATCCGAATGCTCTTAGTAAGAACAAAGGCACAAACATCACCGACTTTCAAATCATTGTCCTGAGCAAATTCCCTCGAACCAGTCTGCAATCTAGCTCTTGGATAATCATTATAAACTCCAAAAGTGTACTTCACTGACTAAGTCCTGTTATGACCTGGTGCTTTAAGGGTCACCTCAGCACTCTTACTGAGATACTTTGTCGCGAAGAGACATGGCAAATTCTAAAGGAGAAACAAAAACAAATAAAAAAACAAAAATCACAAGAAAAAGGAATTAACATTAAGGAAGATTAAAGAAAGGAAGGGGAAATAAGAAAAAGATCGTCTTCTGGACATTAAAAAGAAGCTAATTACCACAAAATACTTGGCTTCCAAGGAGGATGGTTGCATGACAACCATAAAAAAAGGGTGTTTGGATTTGAAACTACTAGCTCTCCTGAGTGCTTGAGCCTTTTGTTCTTCAGTCAAACGTTGCCTCCATTTTGGTGGACTAATATTGAATTTCTCTCCGTCGCCTTCTTTACGATCTTGAAAATCAATCATCGCTTGCAAAACAAATCAAAGATAAAGATATATAGCGAAATTTATTCCAGTTAGGAATTTATGAGTACCTTTTGGTCTGGAATGTTATTGGTTGTCGCTTTGAGTTTTACCAAGAGGACTGGTGATTCTCCTTCTCTTGTGGGACCGAGAACTAATTTGCAATGGATCAGATTTCTCTCTTGTAACATTGGGAGCGAGTGAAAAGCGCCTTTCCAAAGTTTCAACAAACTCAACATCATGATCTTGATCACCAGAACTCTCTTCCTTGACAAAAGAATCGCGATTATTATGTTGTTGTCTCTGATAATTATATTCTATCTCTGTTGTACTCGAGTCAAATATCAGAACACTGAATTGAGAATTCCCTTCAAATCTAAAAACCAACAAATTTCCACGAACAAGGGAACAATAATCTCTAAACTCTGGCCAACCCTTGTCTAACCACACCTTGCCATCATCACATTTTGTCAGTCCTACTTCCCATCGTAAAGAACCACAATGTGGAAGCTTAAGAAATACATGATCTGATAAAATGTCTCCACATTTGCTCACAATTCTTCTTCGGATTTGCTGCACAATATTGCAAGAATACCAAAATAAAAGCTTCAATCAGCTGATTATAATTAAGTGCGCAGTTCATTGGCTATGAATCTAATTCTTAACAACGGAGAATTATGGACAGCCCTTTTCTCGGATTATATTTGTGAAGAAATCTTTTATTTATTCATTTATTTTAGGAAAAAGGGTAGCAAGTAATTTTGCTACAGTTCGTACGTTGCATCTTTAAGAACAATAGAGAGAATATAATTAAGACGATCTATATATATATATATATATGTGTGTGTGTGTGTGTGTGTGTCTGTGTATGCTTACAAGCTTGTTGTTCTGGTGAGTGTCTTCAAGGACTATCTTGAAAAAGTGGGGAGTAGTAGGAGAAAATTTTGTGTGCACATCGTCTTCCCGGTGACCACTAGCCATCTAAAGGCAGATGCATGTTCTCAAAGCTTATGTCTGTATATATACATATATATATATATATAACTATATGTATATATGCACTCATGCACGCATCCTTTTATGTAGAAGAGAGTACTCCGGGGTCTGAAGAAACACGCTTATCATGATGACAAAGGATATAGCTGATGATCTAGGTATACTAACCGCCGTTTCTACTCTGCAGTAGTACACTCCCAATCAAAGTAATTAGATATCGTGATCTAGTGCTAAAATCGATATCAGAATTAAAAAATTATCCTTTGTGTGTTATATTGACGAATCGGTTGACTTATAAATCTGTCGTATTGATTGTTATACGCTGTGGGCCACTACGTATTAGCCTTGTAAATTAAAGCTATATATCGGAGAATATTAGAGAAATTTAGAGAAGAAAGATTGATTTTCTCTTTCAACTAAAAATTACAGAGTACAAAGAGAAGATATATTGTTGAGAGGAAATGTCCCAAAACGTGAACAAGTCCAGCTCAGCAATTAAGAAGATAAAAAAAATAATAAAAAAAGAAAATAAAGCAGAAATTGCTAAATAGTCCATTCCTTTATTTATTTACAAAGGATTCCAACCATTCTAATACTCCCTCTCAAAATGGAGAATGAAATCCCCATCTTGCCAAGTAAAGCATGAAATTGTCCAGAAAATAAAAGCTTTGTTAATAATAATAATAATAATAATAATAATAATAATAATAATAATAATAACAATCCAAAAGCCAAAGGGAGACTGAATATGGAGGTTTTTTTTTTTTTTTTTTTTCTCTCATTTGTTTTCCAGTTTGGTTGTCTTTAGTTAAAGCACCCAAAGAGAGATCGATTGAAAAGAGTTAGACGGAGTAAGTTTTGTTCTTTCTCCCCTAAATTTATTATGGTTTAGCAAATTACTCTCTAAACTTTTAATTTTAGCAAGTTACCCCTTAATTTGTAAAGTTGTTGTCATATGTTCAATTTCGATGATAGTTGTGTTAAATTAGTGTAAAAAAAGCACATTCATGGAAAAATTTCGACATCTCAATTTAAATGTAACATAAATATTTTAATTTCTCAACTTTTAATTTTTTAAATTAATAAAAAAAATTGAACAAATTTAGTAAAATGGGACACATTTCAATAAATTTACAAATTCAGAGGGTTGATTGCTAAAATTAAAAATTTAAGGGACAATTAGCTAAACCACGGCAAGTAAATAGGAAAATAACGGGGCAATTAGCTAAACTGCAACAAGTACATGGGATAATTGTGCTAAAAACCCTTTTACTAAATTGTCTATTTTAGTCTTTTTAATTGAATGTGGGGGTGTCTTAATAAATTGTTGTGGTGCGAATACAATTTCTCTTTGGGGAACATCACTTCTTAAGGATAGACATTTTGTAATGTATTGCTTTTCTGGACATTTAAGTTAATTTTACACATAGAAGTTGTTATTGGTGAATACCACTAATATGGAGACGGCGTTAAAGAAGAGTGAATTAGAAAAATGCCACTTTCAGACAGTTGGCACTTGAATATCTCACTTTGTGAGAGAAGAGACCAAAAAAAAAAAAAGTATAATATAGACATAAAGAAGTAGAAAGTAATAACTAGGAGCCCGTTTAGAAGTGTTTTTAAATGAATTTGTTTTTAGTACGAAAATAAAAAGGTTTTGAAAATTGTGTAAGAATCGTTTTTGAAACTGTGTTTGCTTATTTTATTGAGATATTATTTTCAATATAAAAAAATAAAATTGTGTTTCGTTTATACTTTTAAAAATATATTTTACCTAAATTAATATTCTCTAATTAATATATTAAGTAATTACCAATTGATAATAACTTAATAAAAAATTAATTAATATATATAATAAGATAATATATTAAATAATTAAAAAACTAATAATTAATAATTAGTATATTAGTACATGATTAATATATTACTAGTATACTAATTTTTTTTTATAGGAACTAGTATACTAATTGGTTATAATTAGTAGTAACATTCAAATATTTCATAAGCATGTCAACTGCAAATAATTAAATAAAATTTTTAATTGAAGGTACATTACAGATAAGTATCACAAAAAGTCTTTAAAACAAGTTAACATCTCTCATCTTCTCTCTTTATCTCGACAAAATCTCTCTATCCCCTCTATATCTTTCCATTTACCCCTTTTTCCTCTCCCGTCGACACAGCCCCCCTCTTCCTCCTCGACCCAAATTTGGCGAGCCAACTACGTTGTCACCAGATCCGGCAAACTAACTTCGCAACACCTAAATCCGACCAGCCAAGCTTCGCCACGCCCAAATCCTGACGAGCCCAGCTCCGCCACGTCCAGATCCCGGTGAGCCCAGGCCCTAATCACATCAGAATCGCACAAAATCCAGTCAGAATTTTAAATTCAATCGTATCGAGAGAGAGATCTGGTTTTCTTGAAGACTTTTACCATTTTCATTTGTTTGGTTTTGTTGATCTTGATCTATCAATTAATTTTTCATTTCATCTTGATCTGTTTGGTTTTGATCTTGATCTGGTTACGTAAATTAATGTTAGATAACAGAGAGAAAAATGAAAATGAAAAAGGGAAAACAATCTTTAACTGTTTTCAAAAAACAACACAAAGAAGAGAAACAAAGAAGAGCATTTTCCTTCTGGTTTTAATTTAATTAAAGCACCAAACGTGGTTTGAAGACTAATTTCATTTTTAACGCCTTGATTGTCATGAAAAATGGCTTCAAAACTGATTCCAAACACGCACTGGACTTTACAAGTACTAATAAGCTTAATTTACATGTTGTCCCTCGAATTAGGAGGTTGGATTTAGTACACAAAAATTCAAGAGGTTTTAATCCAATGAACAAACTGCATTTGCCCAGTTCTTTTTTCTGTCATACCAGCTTTTAATACCGTAAACAACGACAAAACATATCACAATTCAAACTCTTTTTTCTTGGTTTTTTGGGGCGATAACTTTTTCTTTTAAGAGCAAAGATGGGTAGAATCATAAATAATGAAAGAGAATATGTAGGAAACACTTGCCTAAAAGTGCTCGATTTATGAGCCTTACAGGCCGAAGACCCATACACCCTCCTTTCGGGGGTCTCCCGGGGGTGCCCCGGGAAGTGCCCCGGGGTTGCCCGATGGTGCTCCGGGGGAGCCCCAGGGGTGTCCCGGGGGTGCCCCGGGGGTGTCCCGGGCGTGTCCCAGGGGAGCCCTAGGGGTGACCCGGGGGTGCTCTCGGGGTTCTCCCGGGGGTGCCCCGGGGGTCCGGGGGTCTCCCGGAGTGTCCCGGGGGTGCCCCGTGGGTGCCTGAAAGGGGGCCCCGGGGTGCCCCGGGGGTGTACCGGGGGTGTCCCGCGGGTCTTCCGGGGTCCTCCTGGAGGTGCCCCTGGGGTTTCTGGGGATGCCCCTGGGGTCTCCCGGGGGTGTCCCGGTGGAGTCCCGGCGGTGTCCTGGGGTTGCCCCGGGGGTGGCCCGGCGCTGCCACAG